GGGGCCTATTAAGGGATACACTACAAACTTAGTCCAAGGCTCATATGATGCTAAACACTAAACTCGAAACTTTGAGGGCTTTCAGGTGTAGGGTACCTGCTTTTGGACTTGATCAGGCCTAGCAGCTGAGGGCTTATGGCTTAGGAGCCTAAATCACCAGTCAAGTTTGATGTGTTTCCACGTTCTTTCACAGTCGAAGACAAAAAAGGCTTCAAAGGAGCACCAGGATGAGTCATCACTCAGGCTTCTGAAGACGAGTGGGTTTCGAGCTTGGGGTCTCTTAAAATGAATATGCATGGGTCCGAGGGATAATTTTGGGAATCTTGAGGCACGTATGGGTCCTTTCTGAAAATGCCTGCCGAGAATTTCTGAGGACGCCAGGAAACTGATCCAACGCGTTATGGGGAGACAGTATGGAGTCTACAGGGATCCCTGTCATCATTCCTGATAGCCCCGCTGAGATTAGCTGTGGAGGCTCAGCTGTACACAAGCCTTAGCAATCGTATTGAAAATACCAGCCAAGCAGGAAGGAGGAATGGAATTAACCATTTGTGATATATGCACATGAAGAACAGGAGTCATCTCTTTGCAAATTCTAGCACCTAGCTGCTCTCGTTTGCTCTCAAATCAGAACCCACCTAAATCCTACACCCCAAATGGCCCCAAATCCTAGAAGCCTCTGGAATACAAACCCTGTTTCAAATCTGTGTCCAACTAATTTTCCATTTTCTTNNCTCCAGTATTGGGGTAATGTCCCTATATGTCCCCATTTTACAGGCTAGGGGGTAATATCCATGGTCCTTTGGCACTTGGCCCCAATCCCCCTAAACCCCAAACCACCTGTATAAATCCCAGCTTCTATTTCATTGTCCTTTTTCAGTTGAATTCTCCTTTGTCAGGGTAGGGTAATAGCCCCTAAAACCGTCCTGTCTTATCCCTATAAAAAGCCCTATATCACCCTTATGCAATCCTAAGACTCCACTATCACGACAGCCCAGACAAGCCTCGTGCAGCCGATCGAAACTAATGAGCCCGTGGGGCCTCAGAAAGTTCTTCGGGCTGGAAGAGCACTGGGGCTTGGAGCTCAATGCTCAAAATTGGATTTGAGGCAACTCTGAGTTTCCGCCTATGGAATTCTCTTTTTACACCCCAAAACACTAGAGACACTGTCAGGAAGACCAGACCCCAACAATGGGCTCACTGTGTTAAGGACCTTGCTGATTCCAGCCGTTGTTGCGCTTGGCTGCTGTGGAGGAACGTAGGCCAATGTTTACTTGTTTTGGCTTAAGTTCCTTAATCGCAGCCCAGCGTTTGTTCTGCAGTTTTGCTCCTCGTCTGCACAACATGGACATCATGCAACCATCCGCAGAATTGCTAGCATCATACAGAACGGACACAACATGTTTGAAGCTTGCTAGGGGGTGTTTACGTTCTACGTTCGGGTTTCAAGGCTTTTAGATCCAGAGGCCACCTTTTCTTCTCCCCTTCCCGGCGCCCTATGACCGGGAGAGGTTATCAAGAGAAGACAAGAAACCGGCAGGTGCGTAGGGCGTGCCCACAGATGAAGGCATGTGGGGCAGCCCCCCACCCAAAAAAAATGTCACAGAGGGATAAGCCCCTCGTCCTTGCCTGCAGAAGGGAAGCATGATGCAAATATAGTGCTAGCCCCAACAACTTCTTCATACATGTGATTGTTGAAGTTGGTATGTTTTGTTCAACGGCCAGAGTTTTACACTGGATCTTCCTAGTTCAAACCTCCCTAGACTTCATTTCAAGGTGCTAGAATTTGGACAGCTGGCCAGCTGTTAGATTTAAAAACGTTTCACCGCTTTGGAATGCCAAACGCACGCAATTTCTACATGCCATAGCCTCCGTGTACCAGCAGACATTTAGCTTTGATGACCCGCCACTTGAATGTCGATTGGAGAAAGCTATCTACCTGGTGGTGAGTGGGGAGGAAAAGCAAAAATCCGCTCCTCCGGTCCTTACGAAGACTCAGTAAACCCTAAACAGTGAACCCAAACCCCAACCCACAAGCCCTAAACTCCCAAGCCTAAGCCCTCAACCCCAATCCCTCAGCCCAAACTCCAAGCCCAAAACCTCAAACTTCCCATATACACCCCAATTTCATTTCATTTCAGGGTATAGTCCCTGTAATCCCTATATAGGCCCTGTTTAGTCCAATCCCCATACAATCCCTATGCAACCTTTATACAGCCGAGGGACGTAAAGTAGCCAGAGGTGAAGACCCCCGCAGGGTAGACGACCCAAGAGGACCCCAAGAGGGAGGCCTCCTTCGGGGGCAGAAGTCTATATGAGAACTATATAGGGATAGTGTAGGGATACATGGCTATTATAGGCATTATGTAGGAATATTATATGGATGTAGGGCATTAAAGGATCTCCTCCGAAAAATCTGCTTATTCCCAGAGAGCCCAATGTTGCTTAGTTAAGGAATATACCTTAAATCATGCTAGCAGTTTTCTTCCTTAAGCTATATTGGGCTCCCTGGGTTCCCAATTGCCCCAGAAATGCCAAGGTGCTGCCGTTATGAGACGGATGTGCTTTGCAGGGGTCATTCGGGGAGTTTACTCAAGCAGGCTGAAGGTTCAAGATGTCTGCGTCACGTTCAGTTGTGTTTAACAGTGGTGTAGAGGGGAAGCTTTGAGAAATCTGAGCAAGGGGATAACTACGGGATGCCTTCATTCAGGGTGCGAACAGAAGATGTTGGACCCGTCCGCTCTTGCTGTAGGTATTTCGGCAGGCTTGTGTTCGGCGGAGGCGGCAGGGTTTCGGGATGATAGGAGACCCCTTCCGCGTCCAATGGCTTTCATGTGGGGCTGAGTGTTTAGGACGTGAAGAAACTTTGGACCCATGGGATCCTTCTACAAGTATTTTGGCCAGCGTGTGTGCGGAGAAGGGAGCAGGGCTAAGGGATTATGGGAGACCCTGTGTGGTCCCATGATAGGCACTTGAAGGGGTGCATAACGAAAACGGACAAGCCAAAACCAAACGAGTTGCGATCATGTACTTGATCCGCATTTGCCTACAAATGCGGCTCAAGCTGCCCAACCATGCGCTCAGGCCATGAATATTTTTACCAAGACCAAAACCAGAATCCCAACTCTCAAAGCCCCTCCCCTCGCATAAACATGGAACACAAAATGGCCTCCTAAAAATGGTCGCCTTTCAAATGCCTTCTTGGGGGCTCCATGTTTGGCAGCGGGAAGGTACACCAAGCTGTAAACTGAATCCCCAGGACCCTTGTCGTATGTAAAGTTTTGGGCATTAAAAACTATAGCCATAAGGGTTATAAGGGGATAACATTGGCAATTTTTCAGGAAGCAAATACCTTAAACCCCAAATGGTAGTTTCCATTTTCTTTTCCATTATCCCTATATAACATTATATAACCTATGTTACCCTATACTATCCCAATACTACCCCAATATGACCTACATTAATCCCTACCGCAACCCAAAACCCCCGAAAGCCCTCAACAAGGTCGTCCAGGCTTGGCGGCTCTTTTGTTTCCCTCGGGAGAGGCTCCAACCTTAGCAACATTTTTGATTTGGGGTTTCATGTCTGTTCTAGTGTAGGGTCTAGAGTCTAGAGTTTGGGTGTAGGGCATTTTAGAGTGTAGAATTTAAGGGGGTGTCATGTCCGTTTGGGGCAAAGAGCTTGTCAATAATTGAGAATGAGAAGGAGGGCCAAGAGCTTGAAGCCTAGAGACATTTGTTTGGGGGTTGCAAATGGGGACCCCTAGTCGGCAAAACTCCCGTATACAAGTACCCACTGGAAAGTCATGACCTATGTTGCAAGGATTTCGGATGCAGTTTGGGCCCTCCAGGGCAAACCCTTAAACCCGCCGCTGTTTGCATTTCATGTTTTATTTGATGTTCGATTTGATTCTCCACTCCACTATTGAGTCATAAGTCACAATTGGGCACCCTCCAAACCCTGAAACCGTGAAACCCTAAACCCTCAACCCGCGTGGCAGCCAGGCAGCACGATGCCCTCCCAGTCCTTATCAAGGCTACCGGTGATCAGGTTTAGGGTTTAGGTTGGTGATATTATTTAGGGTTAATTATATAGGGGATATAGCGCCCAATTATTGTGAATCAAATGGAAAGAAAGTGGGGTTAAATGGGAACAGAAATTATATAGGGTTTTGGGTTTGGGCGTCTGGGGTTTTAGGCTTTAGGGTTCATGGGACTGAACAAGCAGTTCGTAGCCACTCAGTGGCAGCAACCTCTGGGCACTATCCGTCAGATATTCAAGACGCTAGCCAAAAGCGTGCAACCAAAGCTCGTCAAGCATTGCTCATTACGATGCGCTGGCCTCGTTGCCTCCGAGTCTTCTCGTCTCTGAGCAAAGTTTGTCAGTACACATCCATGCCAGCCCTAGCAGATCTGAAATCACCGGACTCCATGCCCAGGTTTCTCCGTAGTAGTGCTTGCAGGAGTGCTGGCTGCGCCCGTAAACCCTAAACTAAACCTCAAAACCCCCAAACACCAGCCAAATTTCCTTCATGATGCTGCCATCATAGGACCAGGGCGGCGCGCGGCCGATGAAGGACTTCACCTTTACCAAGCCTGCACTGTTCCGTGTGTGTGTGTGTATCTGTGCTCAAACATAAAAGCGCACCCACCATTCGTGCGCTCACGTAGCCAGAGATCCCACCCCAACCACCCTAACTATTCTCAATTAGGCTTTAGGGTTCCTAGCCCCCCAACCCCCCCGGCCGGAGGCGTCCCGTTTTGTGTTTTGTCTTTTTCAGGAAACAGCGTTGCAGGGGGGTCCCGTAGGGTTGTCCTGGGAAGCTTGGCCCGTCCAGGCCCGTGAGTTTGCCAGTCCGTTGGCCAGTCCCCAAGGCTCAAGCGCCCATGTATATGGTCAGCTTTGCTCTCATCAGTTTAGGATATTTAGAAGCTGTAGGGCTTAGGTTGGATTAGGGGTTGAAGTAAGAGCTTTCGGGAATGCTGGTTTGAGAGGGGGTTAGAGGGATTTTTCATCCTATGGGATACGGGTGTATAGCGGGAGATGATATATTGGGTATGTGGGGTTTAAAGTGAGCAGGGGGTCCACCGTTTTGGGAGCTAAGGGTTTGGGGCTTAGGGGTTTGTGGTTGAGCAATTGCTGGTTTTAGGCTGGGGGATTAGGACTCGAGACTTGTATCACCTTTTTTGAGATGCCACCTCGTCTCCTAGGAATTCTGTTAAAGAAAGTCATGCGCAAGCCTTAGTCAAAGGCTGTGCCGTCAGTCAGTTTTCAGGCGTAGGGTTGTACAGTTGATTTAAAGTTTAGCAGCATGAGGAGTTGTAGCAAGTCTTGTTGTAACTATTCAAGCACCTCTCAAAAAGAACTCTACAATTCCTACGATTCATAGGGCACACCTCTGCTCCCCTGATCATCCCCCCCCGAATTCACGCGTCGTCCTAGGCCCAAGATCGTCAACCTTCTGTCTAAAGGTTGTTACCCAGAGAAGTCAAACTTCAAACTGACTGGACAAAAATCTTCTGCGAGAACGTCCCGGAGGCCCGCAGCTACAACTTCATCGACAGCCCTGTGGACTCCAGCTGTAGTTCCTCAACCAGGGCTTCTAGGATGTAACGGATAGGGTTAAGGGAATTAGGGCTTTGTGGAGCTTGAGGGGGGGCCAGGGGATTTAGAAACTTAGGTGTTTGGGAGGTGAACAAGGCAACAAGGCCAAACGCCATGGAGTTTTGATCTTTTGGGGACAGGATTAAACCAGGCACGCTAAGCATACCAAAAATCTTGAGGGTGGGTCTACACATCGCTTCAGCACTCACATGCAAAGTCAGCCTTAGTCTCGACAACCGCGCTTGCTGTTCAGGAACTCACACCAAGTTACCATGACATGGATGTAGAGAGAACACTACGGTTTCCCTAAAAACCTTGGCTTACGCTCCTTGATAGCAACCCAATCACACCATGAGGGTTAAGGATGCGCGTCTACAGATTTAAGCTTGAGTGGTTTAGAAAATCTGGGGATGAAGGTGGAGGGTTTGGACTCTTGGCTTTAGGATTTTGGGGCTTAGGGGTTACGACCCCAGAATTTGGGTTTAGGATTTAGAGTCTGGGGCTTGAGCCTCCAGGTTCTAGTTTTGACGGTTCATGGTTCGGAGGTGCGGCGTCTAGGTTGGGACCTCCCCAACCCCAATGGAGAATATTGGAGGGGCATATCATGGTTCTCTCTACGGTTTGTGTTGACTAGTAGCGAGTGCCCAGCCTATAGGACTTAAAAAACACCAGCTGCTAAACCGTCAAGTGTCCATAGTCATCCAGGACAATCGTGTGCACATGAGGCAGGGCAAGCGTGCGCTCCAAATCGCTTCGCACACCTTGGTTTTGAGCTCTTCCCGCAGCAGCCTCCTAGTCTACCGAAAACAGAAAAACAATGAAAATACGAAGCGCCGAGCCAATATGCAAGGTGCTTTAGTTACCCCAGATTGGGTGGCTTCCGTTTTGGGTAAGCGGGTTCTTGTTGAAAAACTATTTAAAACGATCATGCTCAATCTATATTGGGCCAAGGTATACATAGAATGGTAAAATGTTGTTCAACAAGAACCCAGGTAAAGGGTTTGGGGTTTAGGGGCTTGGGCCTGGGCTTGTGTGTCTTCTGACACTGCGCACTGCACCCTGGCTGAGAAGTGTGAGTTTGGCAGTTGCAGCGCCAGAGAAACGGGTTTGGGGATCAGAGGTGCGGCCACTTCCTGAAGACTAAACAAGAATTTGAGATCATCATAGCTGGATTTTAAATTCTAATTCAAAATCATAAGCCTGAATCAAGGCCCTTTTGCGCATGTTCCCGCTAGCAAGTACAATTCCACTCCTTAATAGCCAGCACGGGACTGCCATAGTCGTGCGCGGCATCTATAAACACAGCGTGAATCGGCGTCTGGGCAAACAGGCTCCAGTCATCCATGACGCTGTGGAACTTCAAGTATACGATGTTTCGCAGATCTTCATTTCGAGCTGCATTGTTCTTCAGCACTTGAACAGAATTTTCCAGGGCCAACACCGTCCCAAAGAGCCTGCGTGAACTTCAGCTGTGCGACTTCGAAAAAATGGTTTAAGAATATAACCCCAATATAATATAGTTGTTTCCATTTTATTTTCCATTATCCCGGCATAACCCAAATATGACCCTAATCCCCATAAACCCTATAATCCCAGTTTCCATTTCATTTTGCATTTTCTTTTCCATTTGAGTCTCAATTATCCCGCTATAACCCCGATATTATCCCAATATAACCCCTATTTAACTATGGTAGGTTCCACTTTCTCCTCCATTACCCCAATATAGAAAATTGGGGGGGCGCTTGTAAGTTCTGGGGTTGAGGGCTATTTAGATCCCCAGTTCGAAAATCTCCAGTAGGACAAGTGAGGTAGATCTTTAAGGGTTGATGGTTTGCTAGGAGCTATGAACCAGTGCAGGCCCCTTAAGAAGGACTCCTGCGCAGAAGAGATCATGAAGGAATCCAGGCGTTCTTCCGGGTTCTGTCCCAGAACCTACTTGAAGAATGCATCCATGGAACCCATGTCTTGCAAAACAAACTACACACCAACCCCTAAACCCTAAACCCTAAACCCTAAACCACAATCCTTAAGGAGGGAGCGTCCTGATTTTGATCCCCACCTGGAGAGGACTCGGGTGCAGTGACCCAGATGCGCCCCGACCTCCAGCCTCAGGTCCCCAATGACCAAAATGTGAGCCATAGTCTAAACTCCTTAAAGGGGGGTTATATAGGGGATTATATAGGGGATTACTATAAGGGTTATTAAGGGGGATACTAGGAGTTTAGACTATGGCTCATGTGATTGCTTATGAACCTAATTAAGCTAAGTACTGTGGGACTGAGGAGGGCATCAGCAGCTGCAGCGGGTGATGCTGCTACCACAATCTAGCCGACACCACCCTACACCACCATTTCTACTCAAGCTGCAACTGCTGCTGTAGAGGAGAGGGAGGAGGGAAAGGAGGAGGAGGGTCGTCGTTCTGTTTCACAAAGGTCGCCAAGGTCTCTACCATTATTCCTCCATAATAGCATGGCAGTTCCGATCTGGGTATATGGATCCACAAGCAAGGCCCAACAAACAAAGCTGAGAGAGCCCCTGCCAATGATCTTGAAGATTGACCTTCCGAAGCAATGCCATCACAGTTTGCAGCGTTGGCTTCATATGCAACCCGCAATGAAGAATGAGATGGAAGCAATTGTATCCGGACCGCTGTACCTCCCTCCATACCCCTGAAATCTCTATGAGAAACAGGAATCCAGGGGCATCGTCTCATTCTGCGAATTGCTAAACAGCTGGACCAGATCTTGCTTGAACTCGGAAGAAGTGGTCCACGCGTCCACATTCTTGTCATGCAGCACCTCTTGCTTGTTGGTCCCCGTTAGGAGCTGTAGCGGGGGGTTTAGGGTTTAGGGTTTAGGGTAATGTTTAGGGGTCATGCGAGGGTCATCACCTGTCGCTGTTGCACTGAGGGCTGAACTACATGCCTAGAGGATTGTGATGTCTCAAAATCAGGATCTCGCTGCGGGCGTCCTGCTAGTAAAGATCCTAAGAAACCGTTCATAGGACCTCCTCTGTGAGGCAGAGCAAAAAACGGTTAGCATGAGGGCTTCCAAACGAAATGGCCGCGACCCCAAACAGGGAACCTCAAGAATATAGTAGGAATATAAGTGAATATAAGCAGAAACATAACTACCAGGGTCCTTAGAGTCCTATTTATATTCCTACTAGTTTGGGGCCTGATTAGAGCCCCTGTGAAAACAGCAGAACTCCATCGTTTGAGAAACTTCGTGCATTGCGCAGGAGACTTCTCCAGGATAGACTCTCACACATCACTGCGCTGCAAACAAAAAGTGTGTCCACTTGTTGTGGCCACAACCGTCGTCTTCTCAAACCCTGAAACAAGTTCCTGGTTAGTAGGGGCTAAGGGAAGATAATACCCACATCATGTTCCCTGGTCCCTAAACCCTAAGTAATGGTTTTCATTTCCTTTCCATTACCCCTATATTCAACATATTCCCTTATTCCCCTACTATCCCAAAGTATCAAAATTAAGCAAAGCCCACATCTCTGGGGCCCTGGCGTCCTCTGCCAGCCTCAGCTTCCGCAGAGCATGTCGTAGACACCGAGCAGGTCAACCCCGGAAAGGTTTAGAGCTAAAGTCTAGCTTTAAGTTTAGAGTCCGGGTTGATCAGGGCACTAGTTCACAAAGCAGGGGCCCCCAAGCTCCTATTCTGGTCCCTCATGGTTCTCCTTGGTCATCTGGTGGGCTAGGCGCCGACACAATCATTGCCGGGGAAGCTCGAATCCTTCTGAGCATGGCCATGAAAGTACAGGACAGGTTCCATGACAATTCTGGTCCAAATCCAAAATACAATTTTGCAGTGCCAAGCCTCTCTACTTGTGCAACATAGCATGTCTTCGAGTCCTCAAGAAAGTCTCGCTCGCTCTTGAGAAGAAAGACGAATCCCAAGGGCTGGCCCGGAAAACAAGCAAGTCCCAAAACGTGAGCCCTACATCTTCAAAATCTTACACACTGAACCGCAGCAGTCTGCAAGCCCGAAACCGTGCTTCTTTGCGTGTTGCACACCCAAAACCGAGCTGTGAACGCAGCCTGCCGGCGACAACTTAGCTCCAACTTCCCTCTGCGTCCGAGCTATCCCCTCCAATCCAAATGCTCACCCTAAGAATAGACTACACCATCCGCGCATGTCACCGAAAAGGAATGAATAATCGAAGCCTTGGCCATGAACCCTACAAATTGTTATGAGAAACCACTCAATCCCAAGCCCTGACCCCTAAATTTGATCAAAAGCCCGAAGCCCCAGTCCCAAAACCCTACATCCCTCATAGAACCCCTGTAACTCCTGGAAAAAAAGCTGCAGAGTGGCTGAGAGTCAGCAGAGCCAGCGCCAACAGCCAGGGACAGAAACATCCATAGCTTCATGCGCGGGGATCGGGGTTCAATCCCCATTCGCTCAGGGACGAGGGCTTTAGGAGGTAGTGTGCAGAGATTAAGGGCTTAGGGCTTAGGGTAGATCAAAGTTTAGGGAATTCCAGTTTCGGGGTTCAGGCTTGGGGCTTGGGGTCTAGCGAGCTCTAGAAGCGGGGGGCTTGCAGGATTGGACCATAAACCCTGCATGCTAACCGCGTGTGGCTCACGTGGGATACACTCAGTTGGGCCTAGAAAGTGTGTTCAACAAGCTGCCCCTTAGAGCATTTAGGCTTAGTGCTGGCAAGCAAGGAATGATGGAATGGATCGATCAAGGTAGAGATCCTCATATAATCCCCAACAATATTGCAATTTCCAGCTTCTTTTTCATTCCGTCATTCCTAGCTTAGAAAATCAGTAGGTAGAGCAGCGGCAGCCATTCTAAAGTTGCCGTGCCCTAAAATATTCGTTGCCAATAGGAATAGGTGTTACATCTTTCCCTGCAAGTTACCAGTGCTAGGAGTTTGTATAAGGGCTATATGATAGTTTTCCCAAATAGGGGGAAAAAATGTAGTCTTATAGTTCTTATTATAAGGACCCTCAAAAAGCTACCCCTAAGCTTGATACACAGCGCCATAGGGAATTGGGAATTACATACAGCCAGTCGACTAGGGGCGCTTTGCCAGTCAATTTGTGGTGCTGAAGGGGTGAATGTGAATGTAACGACTATTGTGAGGGATTGATGACTACTACTACTACTACTACTACCACTACTACTACTACTACTACTACTAGAAACTATTTTTGCAATTGCAATTATAACTATTTGGAACCCCCCACTCTCCCTGAAGCACCAGTGAGTCACTAGGAGCCTCCTAGGCTGCAGAATTCATCAGACGGAGTGACAGCGGGTTTTGAGGTTTAGGGTTTAGGGTTTAGGGTTTTGGGTTTAGGGGTTTAGCTAGGTAGGGGGTTATACAGGGGTATATCGGGATATATAGGTATAATGTCAGAGAATCACATGGAAAAGAACACTGAAAATTACATGGAACTGGCATGATACAGGGACTCAGAGCTTCGCTAGGCAGGCATATTACGAAACACTATTGCTATCTGCAACTGTAACTGCAGGGGATATAGGTCACAACCCTAGATAACCCTAGATAACCCTATATAACCTTAGATAACCCTATGTAGCCATATATTCCCGAAGTGCTAAAGAAGTAAAGAAGGTATGCAAATTCAGGGTTGCTGGCGTTACCCTCCCCCAAAGTCACAAATGGCTCTCTTTTGCCAGGACGGTCGTCTTTCTAGGGCTCCTTTTGGGGCTCCACGGTATTCATTTGGGGGAGATGACGATCCTGTAGGGTTATATTGGGTTATATAGGGATAATGGAAAAGAAAGTGGAAACTACTATTTAGGGTTACTAATTAGGCATGTTATTAGCAGTACTGATAATACCAGTAACCATGAAACTAATACTGGCAATAAGTAATGTTGCAGCCTGTTATGCTCGGATACCCTCTTTTGCGTCAAGTTTTGTGGGACTATTCAGGACAATGTAAATGTTTGGAGTACCTTCTTTGATGTGAAGTTTTGGGTGCCAAAATAACAATTTTATAGGTTTGGAGCCATAAAGCCTTTAGTTTCTCTCTCTCACTCAACTGAAAGCTCACATGCAAGCTTCTCAATCCTTTATAGTAATACTACTAGTGCTTATTAAATTAGGATTCAGCTCGGACCCTCAAACAATTTTGATTCAGGACAC